AGTTACTTTGATAAATCGTAGCCAACAATTTTTGAACTTCCAGAAAGAAGGTCGTTTCCAAAAAAATGTTTCGACGATCGGCAAAAAATGAAGCCATACAAAAATTTACTAAACTAGGTCAAAACTCGCTTCCAAGTAAAACGCTACAAATAAATACTTTTTTTACCTTTGTCATCGGATGTTTCTCTCAGCCACGTATATTTTGTTGTCCATTGTGCATCAAATCTAGAGTTTATTTTTTTGCACTTTTCGTTGTAACATCATCTTGGACACGTTTAGTACCACTGCCGACAGGGGTACCGGTGACCGCGTTGCTGGTGGGTTTATCGCTCGCAACCAGGGGCCCAGCAGGGCGTTCTACGCGGATCCACAACGTAATATTTCTGCTGTTTGACATCGTTGCTTCTTCCAGCCAAATATGCTACTGAGAAAATACTCTATTACCCCAATTAAATAGGGCGAAAGTGTTTATTGTCGAAGTACGAAGCTGTATTAGTCCATTGTCTTTGCGTAATCACTGACATGTTTCCATTCACACCTGATTTGGCTCACAGTACCGGACGCTGATGACGCTGACTAACAGATTCGCATGTGTATTAACAAGCTAAAACAAAGAGTAACAGGAAATGCCACAGAGTAGCGGGCAATCTCTCAGAGTAGCGGCATAAATAATGGAGTAGCGGCCCCGCTACGCTAAAACGCTTTGGGGAGAACACTGTATCATGATCAAAGTACCGAAGTCTTGCGCAAATGAGAAACAAGGTTATACATGGAATAAAATTTTATCTCATTTCTTCTCTCCGATCAATGATCTCACTTACAATTCTTTGAGAATCACACAAATTTAATGGAAAAGAAGAATTAATTTTATTTTTTTTTCGCTCTCAATAAAATTGCCTTATAAAAACTCGAGAAACAAGGATTAAAAAAGTCTGGCCGAGATAGAAAAAATAATAGGATCACATTCAGACATTATCCATTTGTTCAGTACAAGATGGTTCTAAAGAATGCCAATAAATTCTGCCATTGTTTTTGTCTGCTGTAGGTATCCCCCCTGATCAACAGAGATTAATCTTTGCTGGTAAACAGTTAGAAGATGGTCGCACACTGTCAGATTACAATATCCAGAAAGGTATGTAGAACTGTTGAATGTATCTACTATACTTATGGCACAAGTATGGTTTTGTACCAGTGAACATTTATTTCACTGTTGGTATTATTTCTAGCATCAGATGTATTCCAAATGCCATATCCCCCATCTGATAAAGATAAATAAGTCTTGGTTTAACAGATTAGATGTTCATCACCCCAAAAAAAGAAAATTCAAACATTAAGTCATATTGTCTCTAAATGTTACTACATATTCCTACTTGCATAAAACAGAAAAATATTATGATCTGTCATGTTCTGCTTTTGGTATTTGTCTAAATGAATACAATTTCGTATGAGCCACCATGGCTAAAACTTTTTCACTCTCAGTGGAAAGCCCAGATAAATTCAAATTTCACTGTAATAAAAATGCTATTTTTGCTGAAGGAATAATATTAAATAAAATATTTTACAGTATTTGAAAAGTTTGTGATTTTTGAGGTGTCAGCCGTGGTAAAATTAAATTGTCAGTCAGGATGGAACAATGTAACTTGACAAATTGTTGGGAGGGGCATTTTAACTGTAAGAAAGGTCTTCCAGTTAGGTAAATTGACTAGTCCATGCATTGCTGAACATTGATGATATGCTTTATCTTCAGAGTCTACACTTCATCTTGTGTTACGTCTACGTGGTGGTATCATTGAACCCAGTTTACGTATGTTGGCACAAAAATACAACTGTGAGAAGATGATCTGTAGAAAGTAAGTCGGTTGCATTTTGAATTTCAAAATCTTGTTTTGGTGCATGTGCTGCTGCAATGCATGACTGAATAAGAATTGGGTTGCTGATTGTATCTACTGTATGTCACCATAAATAAAACACCCGATTATGTGGCTGTATAAAACCACACCTGCCTTAACTCTTTTCTATTCTTTTTTTTCCCACAGGTGTTATGCACGTCTACATCCCCGTGCCACCAATTGTCGCAAGAAGAAATGTGGCCACACAAACAACCTGCGTCCCAAAAAGAAGCTTAAATAAACATTTACTTTGCTTCTTTGTGAGTTGAAATTAAATGTAATAAAGAATTAATATTTGGTTGAATTCTTTGCATCCAAGTCTTGTATTTTAAAGTGTAACTTAATTGGGCCAATTGACTTTTTTTTGTGTGCAAAATTTATTTATAAACATTATGAAAAAAAAATCAAGTGAAAAGGGTATATAAATTGGGTAAACAGTCAAATGATATTCCAAAATCGGGCACGCTCCTCTTCTCCCTTCACCTTAGAGTTTTTTCCGGCATTACGAGTGTTGCCAAAATGGCGCCACCAACGGGACCATAAAGCAGGAGATAGCTAGCAGATAGGATTGTTTACCATTTCCATACGTACTCCTTTAGTAAACCAGCATATACAATGAGCTACCACGATCGTTGTCATGGGGAAAACGCTGTGGTGTGGCAACACGCGCGGCGATTGCGCAAGTCTTTATGCGTTCCAAAAAGGTTTGAATTTACGACATCAGTGTAACAAGGTCGTCCAGAAAACCAGGAAATATTGGGATGGACCTTCTTGTAATGTTATCTGCAGTGTCCATTTTACGCCAGAATCATTTATCAGTACAGTTTGATTTGTTTCGATCTTGCAGAAATAGAACACATGATCTATCGAACGCACACAAATTTACATTTTATAGTGCAGATTTTCTAACATTACCGATACATTGTTCAGGTGGAGTTTAATAAAAATAACGTTAAGATTATTGGTCACGATGTTCAAACTATGGTATATGCTTGTGCCTGAATCATCGCGTTCATTTTGGGGAAGTACACTGTCGCCCACATCGCATACTTTTCTCGCAGGTTCAAACCTGCATGGGCCAATTTGGCCCTGGCACTCTAAAACCAAATGGTGACATCTCTCGTCGGACGATAAGATAGATTCAGTGTCGCTTTCCGAGCACTGCATGCATATAGCGGCCATTGTGAAACTATGACAAATTCACCCCTGTGACGTCACAAATCACCCTTGTATGCTAATTAGGTTCTCTAGCTTGAGCCTCGTTCTGAGTCTGCCAATATGTAATGCAGCACCTTCTATATTTGTATGTTGAGGGTGCTGTTTTTGCTGGGTAGGTGGTTTGGTGAGGATGGGATGTAAAGTCTGCAGTGATGTTGCAGCTTTATGTAATGGACAAAGTGTACAGTTCATTTTGCATACCATCCACATGAACTTAAGTATAATATGCCCTCGCCCACGGATTTATGCAAAATGCACAGAGACATTGCTGTACATGTATTTAATATCAGTAGTATTGACGAGCCCTTGTTTTAAGGTTGGGTAATAAATATGCATGATAGTAACCAAAGCAACTATGCCAATGAAGGATACAAATCGTGTATTCAAGACAACGGAGCTTGA